AAAGGAAGCACTCGCATATGGCTGGCTGCACCTGAAAAATCTCTGATTTAGTGATTTAAAAAATGACGTTGAAAGGTGGTGGAATAGTGGAAGTCCCATCAATGCGTTTAAAAGTCTCCTCCTTCATTTGCCTCGCCAGGTACTCTGTAGGGAGTTGAAGAGGGGAAAAAACAGCTGGGCTGGGTGACTGGAAAAATGGAAAATCTGCAAAATCCCAGCACAAACTTGACGTAAAGGTGAAAGTATTGAAGCCCTTTGGGAATCAGCTGCTAGCAAATTGAAGAGGTCATCTAGCAACTGGCAGCGAGTTTTTAACCCAAATCAGGACAAGACAAAAAAAATGACCTCACAGAAGCTCTTCAAACATAGCGTTCAGAAAACAGCCTGTCAATCCTGCCGAGGTGGCAGCAGGATTTCAGGAAAAGAATGCGGTGATGGAACAGCATGGCAGGTGATTCTGATAAACAAATTTTTTAAGGTCTCTATATAGACCCAGCAGTGTGTGTATCCATATCCATATTTATAAGGATAAAGACCACATATGGCTATATTTGGTGATATATGGATTTCCATACATCCACACACACATATGTGTGTACAACATCCTGATAGAATAGATTTTAGGGTTCCCAACTTCTTTTCCCCTCTTAGGCCCTACTGAGCAGGGCATTTCAGCTTCAGCCCCACGAGTCCAAGCAATCTGTTGAAGCAGGGGGCTGTTTTCCGATGCGCTGACCTCTTGGCGAAAGGGGAAAAGGCTCGATCCCAGCCCGAAAGCGAAGGACAAAATACTGCAGTACAGTAGTGTGACTCCGCTGTAGCACAGGCTGCAGAAAACGGGCTCCTCTGGAACAGCTTTTTTAGAGTCAGAGTCGCTCCTTATTTGAATAAACCCCAGGAGCATATTTGAATAAAGCCCAACAAAACAAGATGATCCGTAACCCTTCAAAGACCTACATTTTCTTTCAACATTCTTTTTGTGGTTTGGAGGTTATTTTAGTAGATTTACGAACCTAACGTGCTCCTTTCTGTTTCACCAGAGTCTGCTGCTTCTGCAGTCTTATCTCTAAGATAACATCTACAGGGTTGCGGGACCCATTCAGAAATCTCTGGTCCCACACATCACTGAAAATCCCGCAGCTCCGTGCGGCGATATTCCCCGGAGAGGTCCGGGGCAGGCAGCAAGGATGGAGCCGGTTTGCAGGGGGCCGTGGGGAGGGGGGCAATCCCCCGGCTGCCTCCCCGACCCCCAGGGAGGGCAGATTTGCAAGCTAAGGGAGCGACGAACACCGGGTCCCAAGATTTTGGCTGGTTACTGCGGCGGTGACTTTAATTTGCAGGGTGCGGGGCGGGGGTGGTGGTATGGGTGTGAACTGGCTACGGCTCGTCCCGTACCCTACGGAGTGAATG